ACAGCACCTCTTCCGCCATCCCGTCTGTAGGGTGACGCGCGAAGTGTGGAGTGGTGGGCGTTGAACTTGGTGTCATCACTTGTGTTATTAACAGTTTGTTCTCTGATATTTTCTTCTTCTTTATTGTGGTTTTTTGATATCCTGTGTACAGTTATGGTGGAGGGTGGGGGGGCTTGGAGAGGATTCGTATGGAGAGGGAGAGGAAGGGTGATAGTTGGGGAGAGAATGGGTCTAGTGAGGAGGAGGAGATGGGAGGAAAGGAAGGAGGGGCTACTGGGGAGGGAGGGATTCGTGAGGGAGGAGAGGGGCTGCTGGGGAGGGAAGGGGACCAGTAGGGAGTAGAAGGGAGGGAAGGGGATTTGTGGGGAAGGAAGAAGGCCCGTGGGGAGGAAATGAGGGGGAAGAAGACTACTGGGGAGGGATTGGGGCTAGTGGGGAGGAGATGGGAATGGGACTAGTGGGGAGGGGGAGAGGGGGCTACTGGGGAGGGAATGGGGCTAGTGGGGAGAAGATGGGAGGGGAGACACTCATGCATTTTAACACACTGTTGTTTGGCTCTATTTTTCCATTTCATTTTTCTTTTCAAATTTTGCTAAGATTTTTTTTTTATATAAATGGGTTATATAAATTCTGTATATATTATTTGTATTATATAAGGCTTCTTGGCTGTGGTTATTAACATATAAAAGTATAATTATCATCGAATGTTTGTAAATTTTGTTTGTTGTTATTTATGTGTTTGATGAACGAGTGTTTGTTGATATTGAAATTACATAGAATTTTATGTTTGTTATTATTATTATTATTATTATTATTATTATTATTATTATTATTAGTCATTATTGTTTCTGTTATTATTTTATTTTTATTAGTATTTATTATTTACTACTACTACTACTACTATTACTACAACAACAACACTACTATTACTACTATTATTTTTTACTACTACCATTACCACTATTATCATTACAGTTATTATCATCATCACCACAACACAGTCAGTGGTGGGGGTACAATCGGGGCCTCAGATACACAGGCAAATCCCTTGTACCTGTCATTAGGCACACCTTGTCTGGGGGCCATGCTTAGCGCTGATTACATTACCTGGTGATTACATTACCTGTTGATTACTTTACCTGGTGATAACATTACCTGGTGATTACATTACCTGGTGATTGCTTTACCTGGTGATTGCTTTACCTGGTGATTAGAGTTCCTGGTGATTACTTTACTTGGTGATTACATTACCTGGTGATTACTTTACTTGGTGATTACATTAGTTGTAGATTACATTACCTGGTGATTACCTTAACTGACAATTACAAATCTCTCTCTCTCTCTCTCTCTCTCTCTCTCTCTGCATGATTATATGTATGTATATGGGTATGCCCTTATTTTATCTTCATATATGTATGTATGTATGTATGTATGTATGTATGTATGTATGTATGTATGTATGTATATATATGTATGTATGTATGTATGTATGTATGTATGTATGTTACAACTTCCTTCCTCCCTCTGTGGTTTAGCTTTCCTGTTGGCTTACCACTATCTACACCATCCCTACCCCTCCAGAGGTCACCTCTCCTCCCTACCCCTCCATAGGTCACCCCTCCCTCCCCCCTACACAGCGCCAATATGTCTAGCGTATGTTGTATGTCAGTGTATTAGCCTGGATAGTGGTAGGGGGGTTGTGGTGATAGTGGTAGGGGGGGTTGTGGTGATAGTGGTAGGGGGGTTGTGGTGATTGGTGGTGTAGGGGTTGTGGGTGATAGTGGTAGGGGTTGTGGTGATGTGGTGGTGTGGTGGTGATAGGGGTAGGGGTTATGATATGGTGGGGGTTGGTGATAGTGGTAGGGGGTTGTGGTGATAGTGGTAGGGGGTTGGTGGTGGTGTGGTGAGTAGTGGTAGGGGGTTGTGGTGATGAAGTGGTAGGGGGGTTGTGGTGATGTGGGGTGGTTATGGTGATAGTGGTAGGGTGTGGTTGGTGAGGGGGTTGTTGGTGATAGTGGTGGTGGGGGGTTGTGGTGATGGTGGTGGGGGTTGTGGTGTGATGTGGTGGGGTTGTGGTGGGTAGTGATGGTGGTGGGTGTGTGGGGGTGGGGGGGTTGTGGTGATAGGGGTTGTGGTAGGGGTTGTGGTGATAGTGGTAGGGGTTGTGGTGATAGTGGTAGGGGTGGTGATAGTGGTAGGGGTTGTGGTGATAGTGGTAGGGGTTGGGTTAGTGGTGATAGTGGTGTGAGTGGTGGGGTGGTGGTAGTGGTCATAGTGGTGTTGTGGTGTAGTGGTGGTAGTGGTATAGTGGTGGGGGTTGTGGTGATAGTGGTAGGGGGTTGTGGTCATAGTGGTGGGGGTTGTGGTGATATGGTAGTGGGGGGTGGTGTGGTGTGTGGTCATAGTGGTGGGGGTTGTGGTGAGTGGTGGGGGTTGTGGTGATAGTGGTGGGGGGTGGTATGGTGGTGAGGTTGTGGTGAGTGGTAGGGGGGGTGTGGTGATAGTGGTAGGGGTTGTGGTTGTCATGGTGGTTGTGGGGTGTGTGGGATAGTGGTGTTGTGGTATAGTGGTAGGGGGTTGTTGTAGGTAGTGGTGAAGTTTTGGTGATAGTGGTAGGGGATGGTGGTGGGGTTATGGTGTGGGAGGTTGTGGTGATAGTGGTAGGGGGGGATAGTGGTGGTGAGTGGTAGTGTGGTGATAGTGGTGGGGGTTGTGGTGATAGTGGTAGGGGGGTTGTGGTGATAATAGTACTTGGTTCTGGTGGGGTGTGATAGTGGTTGTGGTAGGTTGTTGTGGTGGTGTTGGTAGGTAGATGATGAGTTTGGTTGGTGGTGATAGTGGTTGTTGTGGTGATAATGCTGGTAGTTTAGGTGGTGTTAGTAGTACAGATGGTGGTGGTGGTAGTAGTAGTGGTTTGTGATAGTCTACATTATAGTAATGGTGGTAGTCTAGATAGTAGTAGTAGTTAGAAATAGTGGTAGTTGACCCGGATTTAGTACTCATCATTACTACAATAAAATTAATCCTATTTTTACCTTGGGAAAAAAAAACTTGGGATTTAGTGAATAAAATTAATCCCTCATATCCTTGGGAGATTTGGAAGGATTTAATAGGGATTTATTACGTGGCATAGAAGTGATGGGGGATTTATTTCCTTGTAAACTGTAGGGGTAAAATACACTACAGACTCGTTAGGGGGATTTATGTCTTGATGGGGATTTATGTTGGGGAGAGAGTGGTGGGGGTGGTGGAGGTACTGGTAGTTGTGGTAGTGGTGATAGTGTGGGGGTGCTGGTAGTGTCGGGGTACTGGTAGTGGTGGTAGTGTGGGGGTGCTGGTAGTGGTGTGGTGGTGTGGGGTGCTGGTGGTGGTGGTGGTGTGGGGTGTGGTGGTGATGGTGTGGGGGGTGCTGGTGGTGTCAGGTACTGGTAGTGGTGGTAGTGTTGTGTAGACGTAGAATTGTCATGTCACACAAAACATAAATAATATAAAATAAAATAACTGCTATATATTATTTTTTACGTCGGTAGGAAAATAATGTATTTATACTGGGGAAAAAAATACTCATTAAACAACAAAATATTCAGAGGTTTGTAATGGAAATTTTGTTCGCGTTGACCATCCTGGAGAAAAAAAATTAAATAAAGGTAAGAATAATTATTTGTTGAATGAGACATGAATTATTAATGAGGTAATTTGGTGATGGTGGTGATGGTGATGGTGATGGTGGTGGTGGTGGTGGTGGTGGTGGTGATGGTGGTGGTGAAGGTGGTGGGGTGGTGGTGAAAGGTGGATGGTGTGGTGAAGTGGTGGTGGTGGTGGTGGTGGTAATGGTGGTAGTGAGGTGGTGGTGGTGGTGGTGGTGGTGGTGGTGGGTGGTGGTGGTGGTGATGATGGTGGTGATGGTGGTGGTGGTGGTGATGGTGGTGGTGATGGTGGTGGTGCTAGTAGTTATTGTTTTATTGTGATTTTTTATTTGTGTCTTGCTCTTGTTTTCCTGTTTGTTCTTCTCACTATCACCGGACCTCCATTGTCACCACAATATGACTCGTTCTTAGTCACCATCACATCACTATCAATCCTGGTGACCGTTTTATCACCTTCCTTGGTAAGTGAGTTCGTGTCCGTGGTGAAGATGATCAATGGGGCGTCATTATCACCGTGGTGAAGGTGATCACTATCATCATGGTGACAGCAGACTTCGCCAGGCGCTCGTCGGGCCGGAACTTCACTTCCTGTGTCTCAATACTTGACGTTGACTCCCTCCCTCCCTCCCTCCCACCCCTCCCTCCATCTACATTCCGTCCCACCCCACCCTCTCATCCCTCTGGCCCTCTCTACCTCCCTCCTCCCTCCCCCTCCTCCATCTGGCTCTTCCTCCCACCCCCTCCCTCCATCTACTCTTCTCCGTCCCACCCCACCCTCTCATCCCTCTGACCTCTTTCTTACCTCCCTCCTCCCTCCCTCCCTCCCTCCCTCCCTCCCTCACCTCTTTCCTACTCACCTCCCACCACCCACTCAATTCTCCACCCTCCCCACTTCCTCCCCCCACTTCCCTCCCCCTCCCACTTCCCTCCCCTGGGCTTTCAAAATTCACGGTGTTATTTCCGGGTTTGGGTTAGATTATCCATCATTTGTGGCCACACCTGTCCCTCGTGGCCACACAGGTGTAACAGGTGTGTCCATAAGAGGTCTTCGTCAGATAAGAGTGTTTGTTGCCTTAGCACTTTACTGTTACTTCATGAATAGCTTGAGGAGTGTAGATATTGGTTAGATAGATAGATATATAGATAGATAGATAGATAGATAGATAGATAAAAGATAGATATATTTGCAGATAGATAGATAGATAGATAGATAGATAAAAGATAGATATATTTACAGATGGATAGATATATTTACAGTTAGATAGATAGATATATTTACAAGTAAGTAGATCCAAAATTCAAGTTCTGAACGTTTTAAATTCTCGTTAGGTTGTCTGGCTGTCTCTCGCTGACAGTCTAGAGTGCCTCCACGCCAGTCAGCCAGGTAGTAACTGTCAGGAGAACTCATAATGGCGCCCAGAGCTGACACTTTGAGGGTGTGTACCAGTTTATCGTGGTGAGTGGGTGCTATAGGCAGACTGTCTGACTGTAAAGTAAATATGACAGTTTAACTTATTGACTGGGCATATGAGTGACTGTTGAACTTATGTGACAGTTTAAGCAGAAGGAAAACCTGTAATGTTAAACCAGGGAAATTTGAATAGGGAAATAGTGGATAATAAACCTGAGTTGTGTGTTAAGTCTAAGGAAATATTAACAGGGGAAAAAAGGTAAAAAAAACACTTATGCTAAATCTAGGGAGATATTTTTAAAACCAATGATGACGGTATATTTCCCTGACCACACACATCCGCTCACCAGCATACCGACATATTTCCTGTGGTTTTTTTCCCTATTTCGTTTTTTCCCTCAAATTCTCTTTTATTTACGTTTCTTTGTCTTGTATCATCCTTCTTTTGTTTTTGTTTTGTTGTTTATTATTTTGTTGTTTTGTTGTGTTGATCAGCTGCGTCGGTAACACTATACATGTCTATGATGCTGAAAGATTCTTGATTTATTGATCGACTTAGAATATAAGGAGGAAGAAGAGGAGGAGGAGGAGTAACAGGTCCTTGTGGTGCGGGGTGAGAGGAGCGGTTGTGGCGCCTCTATCATCACCAGCAACACCACCCGGATTTAAGCAATGGCCGTGACTGGGGTTATGTAGTGGTGTTGGGATGTGTTGGATTTTGTTGTGTGTCTCCTGGTCTTAGAGAATGGTGGTTGGTGGGGGTGGTGGGTAGTGGTGGTTGATTGTGGTGGGGGTGGTTGGTCGTGTTGGTTTGTTGGGGTGGTGGTTGATTGGGATGGGTGGTGGTTGGTTGTAATTGATTGTGGTGGGGGGTGGTTGGTTGGGGGTGGGGGGTAGTGGTGGTTGGTTGTGTTTGGATGGTGGTGGGGGGCAGTATTGGAGGAGACTTAATTGTGGTAGTAGTGGTAGTGAAGGGTTTAACAGATGGTGTGTAAAGGTGAAGAGAGAAAGAGAGGAAATGATAAAGCAAGAGAGAGAAGGAGAGGGGGGAAATGATGAAGCAAAAGAGAGGAAATGATAAAACAAGAGAGGGAGAGAGAGAAAGAGAGAGAGAGAGAGAGAGAGGGAGAGAGAGAGAGAGAGGGGAGGGGGGGGCAGGAGGACTTGGTCACGGTGAGTTGCCCCGTCAGTTCCTGAGGTATTCAGTGTGGAGGAATTCAACCCAGCCAGCAGCACCCCCCCATGGTCACGTGGGGGGTGGGGGGCCTCCATGTCATCTTCGTCATTACCATTACCATCTTCGTCGTTACCATGGTTGTCTTTACTGCGGCGTTTGATGTCACCATTATGTTACCTTAGCTACTGTTCTTACTATGGTTATCGTTCCTACCATGGCTATAGTTTCTTCCATAGTTCTTTCCTACCATTGTTATCGTTCCTACCATGGCTATAGTTTCTTCCATAGTTCTTTCCTACCATTGTTATCGTTCCTATCATGGCTGTTTTTCCTACCATTGTTGCTTCACTACCATAGCTACCGCTCCTACCATGGTTTCCTTTCCCTACGCTCGTCGGTTCCACCATAATGGTCCCATGTGCTCAGTCACGTTAAAAAATCCGTTACAAAGATCTTGTAATTATGGAGATTAATTGAAATCCGTTGGCGGAAATTCAAAAATTCGAAATCGGAATTTCCGCCAACGGATCTTAACGAATCTCCGTGTTTACAACAGCTTTTCACCTTTACCTTTAATGATGGAACCGTGTGTACCATGACGTGGCGCTTATGTACACGTGTATTCATGTACGTATCTCAGACAGTCATGAAACTTGATGTACACGTATATTCATGTATCTCAAACAGTCATGAAACTTGATGTACACGTATAGTCATGTACGTATCTCAAACAATCATAAAGTTTGATGTACGAATTGAGAGAGAGAGAGAGAGAGAGAGAGAGAGAGAGAGAGAGAGAGAGAGAGAGAGAGAGAGAGAGAGAGAGAGAGAGAGAGAGAGACTACCCAGCTTGGCATAGTGATCCCAAGAATTTGACCAACAATTTATCAAGGTCAACTACTACCCTGTGCATAGTTCAAAGGTCACCTGGGGATTTGTTTGTCTTGTTTTAAAGTTTTAGTTAAAACAAATAAAAATGAAAAACAATTAAAACTGTGTGCGTGTGTGTGTGTGTGTGCGCGTGCGTGTGTGTGTGTGTGTGTGTGTGTGTGTGTGTGTGTGTGTGTGTGCGTGCGTGTGTGTGCGTGTGTGTGCCAGGTAGGTCAACAAAAGGTTAATTGTAATTACAAGAAAGCTCAACACAGTAATGGCCGCCGCTGCCGACCCTTGAGAAATACCATTACATTTTATGATTTAATTGTTTTTATTTGTTTACAATGTTAGTAATTTGTTGTTTTGCGATGATTGTTGTTATTGTTTTTGTTGTGCTACGTTGATATTACTTTTGTGGTTGTTTTATTGTTCGTCTACATTGTCTTTGTGATTGTCTTTGTGTTTTTTGTTGTTCTTGTTCTTGTTCTTATTCTCGTTGTTCTTGTACTTGTTGTTCTTGTTCTCCTTATTCTCGTCGTTCTTGTACTTGTTGTTCTTGCTTTTATCTTTCCTTGTTCTTAGCGTTTTTTATTTATTTTTTTCTCTTCGTCTTGTTCTTCTTGTTCTTCTTGTTGTTCTTGTTCTTTGTTATCATCATCCTGCTCATAACAATTTTGAATGGAATGAAGATAAACCTTTCGTCCTTGATATGGGTCATGTAATGAATAACTTGTTCAGAAATTATTGTTATTGATAATTTAGTAATGAGTGTTATATAATTATTGGTTCAGAAATTATATATATATATATCGTCGTAATTGGTATCGTTAGCTATCGTCGTAATTAATTAACGGTGTATGTGGTATTATTGACAGCGATCGACTCCAAGCTGTCAGAGGGAGACTATCATCCCCCCCTCCTCTCCCCTTCCCCTCCTCTTCCCTCCCCCCTTCCCCTCACTACGATACGACGCGTCCTGTCACAAGAGAAGTTTGTTAACGTGTTTGAGTTGACGTATCGTGCACAGGAAGTTTGATGTCAAGGTGTTGGTGACGTCAGGTTTGTTTTGGTGAGTTGTGTATACATTGGGGGTGGTAGAGACACGTCTGAGAGGGGGGGGGAGGTTAGAGGAGGGAGGGAGGGTGGGGGGTAGTTGGTTTGTGTGGGGTAGTGTGTGACTCTCCTTCGCCTTGTCTCATCTCTTCCATCGTCTTCTTCCCATTATCTTATTTATCTCCCTTCTTCTCTTCTTTTGCCTGTTTCATTTTCTCTTTCCTGTTCCTCGATTTTTTGTGCTTATTCCTGTCTTCCTCCTCCTACCTCATCATCATCATCTTCATCATTATCATCATCATCATTATCATCATCATCATCATTTACTCCTTAATTACTTTTTTCTTTCTTTCACTTTTCCATTATTTCTGTTCCTTCCTCTCCTCTTACTCTTCCTTCCCTACTCCTCCTCCCCTTCCTTCCCTTCCTACCCCTCCCCCTTCCCCTTCCTTCCCTTCCTCTTTCCTCCTCCCTCCAACAACCGTTCGTCAATTTCCTTTTCATTTTTGGGGTTCGTTTTACACTCCAGTTCCTTCATTCTGTCTTTTCCTCTCTCCTTCCTTCCTTCCTTCCTTCCTTCCTTCCTGCCTCCACAAAAACATCATCAATTCGTCATCGTTTTTTGAGTGTCATTTTAATTTTCATCTCCCTCATTCAGCTTTCAATCTCATGTTTCTTTCTTTCTTTCTTTCACATATCCATTATTTTTCTCCTCTTCATACTTGACCATTTCCTCCCTCCCTCCTCTCCTCTTCTTCCTTCTTTCTCCACCTTCCTTATTTCCTCAACTTTTCTTTCTCCTTCCTCTTCTTTCACTCTTCTCTCATCCTGTTTCCTTCCTACCCTCCTCCCCCTCCTCTCCTGTACTGTAATTGTATAAAACACTATTCCAGGTTGTTCATTAAGGCGGCAGCTGAAACATCACAAGGAGGTTAGTCTAGTTGATGGGGCCATGGGACGAAGATGGAGTTGATGGGGCCAGGGTGGAGGATGGGGGGTGATGGGGCCACATAACATGTTGGAGGATGGATGGGGGGCCACAGGAGGATGGATGGAAATAGGTGGAGGATGGATGGGGCCAGGGTGGAGGATGGGGCCATGATGGAGGATGGGGGGGTGATGGGGCCATGGTGGAGGATGGGGGGGTGATAGGGCCGTAAGAGAAGGATGGAATTGGGCCATAAGAGAAGTAAATTTAAACAATAGACAACAAAAGATAATCTACACGATAGATTATAATCAATAGATAATTCCTATAATAATTCTAAATACTTAACGTTAAATTATCTCCCGTAATTATTGTGAACATTTTCTCCAGCGTGTGGGAGGAGACTCGCTGCCTCGCCCATAACAGCTGAGTCAAGCATAAAGATCGTTTAATTGCTCTCGCGAAAATCGTAAATTGCGCGAAATGCTTCAATTTGCGAATGCAGCGCTGGGTATTTTGTGGTCTTTTGCGGATTTATTGTGGATATTTGCGGATATAATGAGAAAGTTTCTTGATATTTGTAAATTTTTAGTGGTTTGTTCAGCCGATATTCGCGAGTATTTGATTTAGTGCCTGGTATTTGATATTCGCGAATAAACCCTGTTGTTTGGCTAATATTCGCGAATAAAAACCGGTTATTTAGCTTATATTCGCGAATAAAACCCGTTTATTTAGCTAATATTCGCGAATAAAGGCCACTTATTTGACTGAAATTGGCGAAGGAAACCTCAATGTTCGCCAAGTTAAGTCGAACGAAATTTCTCCTTTTAAATGGTGATGAATTTTTTAAATTACATAATTGGTAATACAGCGGAGTATTATGTATTCCCTTTGTTACAGTGATCAGAGGA